CCCAAATTTCGAGTCCAAAAATTTCATTTTAATTAACGGATTATAAAACATTCATAAGAAAACTGCGTAACAATGTATCATTTTGTGAATCAATGTATCATGTCTGAAAACCCAAAACATATAAAAGCAACATGTCATAGTACAATCCCAGAATATCTCAAGTGCGGAAAATCAATGCGTGTGTGTATGATGTGCCGCTACTGCGCCAGCTCTTTCCCCTTCGCTGAAGAGGTACCTGAAACCAAAACTGTAAACTGTAAGCACGAAGCTTAGTGAGTTCCCCCATCGTACCACACATATACAATACATACTGTCAGGCAGTTCTGGGGTGCCTGACTACCCAGGTCAAGCCATTCTGGGGTGCTTGACTTACCCAGGTCAAGCCATTTTGGGGTGCTTGACTTACCCGTCGGTCTGTTTCACCCGACTATCGGGGACTATTTCACCCCCTACCACTACCACATAACACACATATACTACCAGGCAATTCTGGGGTGCCTGACTACCCAGGTCAAGCCATTCTAGGGTGCTTGACTTACCCGTCGGTCCTTACGACCGACATCCGAGGACTATTTCACCTCCTACTACTACCACATAATATCATAGCATGAACATACTGTCAGGCAATACTGGGGTGCCCGACCTACCCTTCGGTCCTAACGACCGAACTTGGGGACTATTCTCCCCCTACTAACACTATCACATATAACACATAACATATCATGCTAGCACATAAACATATTAGGTAGCAGCAACCCTAGATGAATGTCACAAAGACAATCATCTAACATACAACTCCTACTGGTGGGCCGGCATTGTGGCCGTAGACCCACCGCTACTGAAAGGTAACTCACCTCAAACGAGTAGCTGCTGATAATCTGTGCGGAGAATCTCTGACTGCTGCTGCTCCGGAAATCCTCCGGCTATAATCCCCACAAAACACTTAATCAGAATCTGATATCTACCCTTAGGGTAAAATGACTATTTTACCCCAGACCAAGTCCAAGTCAAAGTCAAAGTCAATTTCCAGTTGACCCGACTCGCCGAGTTGGGTCGTCAACTCGTCGAGTCCCTATTTCTTTAATTGTCCTCATCCACGTCTCTACTCGTCGAGTTTAGCAACGACTCGACGAGTTCTCCTTCTAACACAACCTCGGATGAACCTTCTTCCGACTCGCCGAGCGGTATGAACACTCGTCGAGTCCATCTTCATCCTAAGAACACGTCCTGTCCTCGACTCGCCGAGTTGTATGAACAACTCGTCGAGTTCATCTTCAAGAGTTGGGAGATTGCCTTGGACTCGCCGAGTCTGCTCGTGCACTCGTCAAGTCCTATGAACTCCAGGACTATGGCTTATCCCAATACGTTTGGGTCACTCCCTTGGACCCTCTAAAACCTTTCTTTCACTCAACTGGTTCCCACGAACCATAACAGAAAAGGGGAGTCTAACCTTGGACTCGCCGAGTCCCAAGAACGACTCGCCGATTCGATGCAGTCCAAGTCTTATTTCTTCGATTTCTGGAGTGCAACTCTTGTCCAAATGATAGATCTAGGTCCCTAAACTCAATCTAACACGTAAAGTTACAAACTTTACGTGCATGCATGGGACTTTGAGCCTAAAATGCCCAAAAAGAAGCTCTTAAGATGCATGGGGTCTTCCATGGGTGCAAAAGCAACCCCTAACTGCCTTGTGACCCTTCCATGGACCTAGATCCGAAGCCTCAACCCCCAACCATGCTTGCAATCATAGTTGGCTACCAAGAATGACTTATAAAAGCCCTAAATCTCCCCAAAAAGGGATCTAACAAAAGAACAAGCAAGGTATAGACTTTATACCTTCTGAGAACAACAAATGATGCACTAAACTCGAATCCTTCAGTCTCCTCTTGATCCTTCTATGCTCTTCCTTCTTCATTGTGATCAAAATCCACAAAATCACTCAAAAGCCTTGAATCTTGCACCAAAACACTTAGGGTTTGCTAGGGAGGGTTTCTGGGAGCAATAAGGACAAGTGGGGGATGAATGAGATGATTAAATAGGGTGCAAACCCTCAGATTAGGGTTTTTGTCCAGACAGAGCCTACTCGTCGAGTCCAGGATCCGACTCGACGAGTCCCATACTTAAACCCCGCGTTCTAACCCGCTTCTACTCGGCGAGTTGGGCCATCAACTCGCCGAGTCCCAGGCCAAAAATGTAAAATTACATAAATGAAATACATACAAGAAACCAAGTGCTACATAATTATTCCTAAATTCCTATTGGTGCATTCATGCACACAATAGTTGCTAGAAACATTTGAACCTAGCTCTATATATATATATATATATATATATATATATAATATATATATATATATATATATATATATATGGAAAAGTGAATATGTGGCTGTTATGTACCTAAGATTAGGTATAAAACTTTTAAACGACTTAGTTTTAAACAAAACAAATCCAATTTCATTTTCTTTTAATTTTATTTTAATATAATACAATTGAATTGAGTTAAATTATAGAATAAAAAAGATCAAATATATATCTTTTTTTTGCAAAAAATTCATTGAAGTTTCTAGGAAAAGTAAAAAAAACCAATATTTTTTTAATGAATATAACTCAAATATTTTGTCCTTCAATTAAAAACAATATCCAATGATTTGTGAAAACATTGACTGAGTTATTGTATGTTCTTTTTTTATCTTTTATTCTGTTAGTTTTCATTTAAGATTTAGTAGATTTGATTAAATGGTAATGATTTTTAATACTTTAAGTTCTTAGACACAATGAAAAAAAAAACATAAATTTGATTGGCAATGTAGCAAGTCACGTGATTAAGGAAGAATAGTAAGTGAGATATCATGATTACTTTGGTATATAGATCAAAACTTCATAATTTGGAAGATTCTATATATAAGCTTAGGTACATAACAGTCACATATTCCGTAAGAAATATATATATATATATATATATATATATATATATATATAAAGACTTAAATGAATATGAGGTCAAAATGTAGGGATTTTATAGTAGATTTCCCATAAATAAAAATACGGTGTTTGTTTAAATAATGACTAACTAAATAAAATGGGTTTTATAGAACATTTTAGATAATATGGATAAACTAATTAAAAAAATTAATGTTATTAGAGAAGTTTAACCATTTGAGGGTTGCTTAATTAGAAGTTAAAGTTAATGTGATGATTAGGTTATAATAATTTTAAGTCATAATATATATGTTTATTATTGGAGATACTCTCACACAAATGGTAGTTAATGATATTTTTTGTGTAAGATGTAAATAAAGTATTTATTGACACACTAAAAATGTGAACTATAGAAGTAGTTAACCTTTTCTAGCTCTTACCACCCTCGTCCTCATCACAATTGTCTTTTTCATAGCCTTATCTCTCTAGACAATTTGTGTACACTCCAGCATAGATAAACATGGCGCACTTGACATCTCCATCGGCTGGTCCCTCCTTTCAATGAGGACTAAAGATTTGAAGCAACTGCTCAATATGCTTGAGGGGAAAAAATGAAGTTGATTTTGTATTTCCACCCTTCTTGAAGCAACACGTGATTTTCATCGCATGTTTCGTGTAACCTATGTTGTTTAAAAAATGTTTTCGACCGTCGATGAGATACAAGAGAATGTGGTGAGTCCGAATTCATACCTAACAGTTTATGTAGATATGTAGCCGAAAAAATGAAATTGCTACAAACAATGATGATGCAGATAGTAAATCATGTGAAAGAGCACTGAATAATTCAAAAAATAAAAATGAAAAACCCATGTAAATATATATTACCTTCTTTTGGTAATTAATTTTTTTAAATACATTGGATCGCTATTTATTTTTAAAAATTACAACACTTAAAAGTACAAAACTCCTTCATTGACTTCTCAGGCTATAAATACCATTATACCAATTCCAAGATTACTCCTAGATTTGGAGATTGTTAATAGATCGTTTACCTACCCGGTGGAATCTTAGCATCAAAGGTTTTGGATATCCCTTCGTTGCTTTGCCCGTTATATGATAAACAAGTGGAAAATTCATATCATGTTTCCTTTTTATATGAAGATGTTTATGTTATCTGATAAAAGGTGTTTAGATGAGTGAATTTGGTGCTTCCGGGTATGGATATACTACATGATCTATTTTTTTTGGTTGGATACGGTTTCGTTCTCTGGTAATAAAAAGACGGTTTTGGAGACTATTATTCAAACGACATTATGGGTGATTTGGAGATATCATAATGGTATCATTTTTGGAGACTTTAATCCGATTAAAAATCGGATTTTTGAAGATATAGTTGATTTTTCTTATAATTGGTTTAGTTATGGGAAATTGTAAAACTAAAGGTAATTGGGTTGATTGGCTTAAAAACTCAATTCTAGCTATTTATTTATAATTTCTAGCTACTTGCTAGTTTCGTTTTAATATTATTCACACACACAAAAAAAAAAAAAAAAAAAAAAAAACTTCTAGAAGTACATATTAAAGGCCCTGTTGAGTTTGGGCTATGAATACCATAACTTGTTAAGAAGGCCCATTGACGGTTTATATGAATTGGGTTGTGCTTTAACTTGTTTGCATATTTTTTACTATCTTACAGGAATTCACAAGAACTAAGGAACATTATAGGAATTACGAAATATGAATTAAATGGAAGGACATGTATTTAGGCAAATAACATCTTTATAGGAGCATTACATGGCCATGAACCATGAAACATATACATATTATTGCTGGAATGCAGATACCAAAGTAAATCTTCCCAATTATTTCTCTCTTTACAATCATCAAAGAAATTCTTTATTCATCGTAACAAACAACATTGTTGATAGTTGATACAACTAAAAAGTTATATTAAACAAAACATCATTTCTTCCAGGAGAGCGCTAACTCTCGCTTAGAATTTATCCTCATACTGTTTGATGATCTACAATTTCATATCAAGAAATCCATGCCTTTGTGAAATGTGATTCACAATCTTTTCTAAATAACATAATCACACCACTTATGATCCATAGTAAAACTAGGAACCTTATCAAGCTTCACCGGATTCATCTTTCCTCCGATCAACTTTGCTGGGTTTCCAACGGCGGTTGTTCTAGCCGGCACATCTTTCAACACCACCGATCCCGCCCCAATTTTAGCCCAATCTCCGATCCTAATATTACCCAAAACACAACTCCCAGCACCAATCAAAACCCCATCACCAATCTTAGGATGCCGATCGCCATTACTTTTTCCAGTTCCACCCAATGTCACATTATGCAAAATGGAAACATTGTTTCCGACGACTGCAGTTTCTCCGATAACAACTCCGGTGGCATGATCAAGCATTATTCCCCTTCCGATCTTTGCTGCAGGATGTATATCAACTGCCAACACTTCAGAAACTCTACCTTGAATCAAAAGCGCTAAAATCTTTCTATTTTGTAGCCATAGATGATGTGCTATTCTATGAGCTTGACAAGCGAGAAAGCCTTTAAAGTTCAAGAAACAGTGTACGTAGCTTATACAAGCTGGGTCCCTTTCCTTTACAGCTCTTAAATCGTCTTTAACAGCGTTAACGAGTTCTCGATCTTCTGTGAGGACACCCATGAAAAGATCGTATAGGGTTGCACTAGGTAAACTGGAATTACTCAATTTCATTGAGATGTGGTTGACTAAAGCGCTTTCCATTGAAGAATGAGATAAGATTGAGGTGAGATAGTAGTTTGACAAGATGGGTTCTTGATCGATATCGGATCTAGCTTCGTCTTTCATTTTGGGCCATAGATCATCGTAATCTTGATGTGTGTATACATTGATCTTGGAGATGGGTTTGCAGGAAAACTGATCAGGGTAATCGGATCTGCAGAATTTGGCATAGTTTTGATTACATTCGAATTCGATAACTTGTGTTCTTGAACTGTGGATACAAGCAGTCATCTTTATTAGTTTTTTGGGGGAATTGATGAAATTGTTATGTGGGTAATGTTGAGAAAGATTGAAATTGGGAGATGAATGATTATGAAGAAGAAATGGGGAGGTTGAGTATGAGAATAAAGGACGCAACTCTATATATATGGAGCCGAGGAGGCATCGTCAGAATAAAGACGGCGCTTTTACCGGAAAAGAGTAACGTATTTTTATTCACCCCACCACTATAAATAAATAAGTTCTCAAGAGCAACTTTGCTTCATCTTAAAAAGTTACGCTAATTGGTTATGGTATAAACAATTACTCCCTCCGTCCCAATATTATTGTTTACAGACAAAAAACACACATATTAAGATAAACATTAACTACCACTAACTTTATTTAATAAAATGACAGTTTTGTCCTTACATTAAGTATCATTTTTAAAGTATTGAAGATATGGAGGGCCTCAAAGTAAAATCCGTACCCGATCTATATATATGTTAGAAATGGTATATCAAGCAACTAGAAGAAATCTGAAATTCAAAGTCAAATCCAAGTCAAGTTCAAGTCCAAATCAAGAAGCAAGCAAGTTAAATATGAAGAGTTGATCAAGACAAAGAAGATGTGTGGTATAATGAGATTGATCCCTCGATAGTGGAATCATAGGGGTAAACTTGGATTTTCTGTCCATAATGGAGCTTACCGCATTTACTGGACGAGTTCAGAAAAAAAGGAGGGGTTGGTCAAGCTAAATTTTTATAAACGAATTTTCGTGAAATGATTTTAAAAAAAAAAAATACAATGTTTTCACAAATTTAATTCGGTGTAAAAATTATTTGCTCAAGCTTGGTTTAATTTATCAAATATATTATTATGAATCGTTAATATAAAGTATTGAGCTGTTGGCTAGGTAGTGATTTCATTGGAGCTTCCTCGTTGTGAAATCTGATCATGTGAACAAAAAAATAGTGAAGTGTTTTGATAAAGTTTAAATTTTTAGTTTCCTTAATCTTGTTTTAGTTTTAATTCTAAGTTTCTTTTTTTTGGTTATCTACATCATTCCATTTGTTTATAATGTTTTATCTTTTTTCTTACTTGAGGGCAAGTAAGGTTTAAGCTTGGGGAGATTTGTTAGATGCCATTTTATGCATCTTATAGGGTAGTTTTTTTCATCATTTTAGCATCATATTTTGTACATTTGCATGTCATTTATTTAAACAATGTTCAGCTCATGTCTTTTGTTAGAATTCCCGTACTGCTCATGTTTTTATGTCGATTTCAGATAGTTCGAGTGGAGCAGTGCTTTAGGAGCAGTTGGATGCGTGTTTGGAGCTTAAAATGGAGCTTGGGACTTATGGAGTATGTTGAGGAATGTTTGGAAGATGCTTTGGTCAAGAAACATTCGATCGAATTGATCACACGAAGAAAGAATCTACAATCTAAAGTTAAAGGATGTTACTGGCAACTTTGACCCCCTGTCAGTATTTTGACCATATCTCGAGAACCGTAATTCTGATTGACGCGATTCAAAATGATCTGAAAAGTAGACGAAATTTCGGACGTCATAGGCACAACCTGCGATCCCAGGTTGTCTCCTTGCGATCGCAGGTGACCCTTTTTTCGATCGGAGGTTGCCTTCGAGGTTCTTTTGTGCCCAAAATTCATCCGGGAGTGAAAACTCAATACCTGCGATCGCAGGTTGTGTACATGCGATCACAGGTTGGCCAAAAAGTGTCAAAATAGCATCCTACTTCATTAAAAAGGCACCAGACGCGTTTATTTCAAAACCTGCGATCGCAGGTTGTATACATGCGATCGCAGGTGCGTCGTTTTTGCTGTTGGACGTATAAATAGGCCCTGATAACATCCCTGTAACCCAAGTTGGCGATTCCAGAGGTTCCAGACGACGAAAATACAATTTTGGAGGTGTTTCTTCTCCGATTTCATCAATTTCTGAAGATCTGAAGACTGTGGATCATCTCCTACGTTTAGTTTAGTAAGATTTAGTAGTTTAATGTTTGTTTTTATTGTTTTAGATCAGATTTTATCCATGTCTGGCTAAACCCTAGTTTTCAGTTCTGCAAAGACAAGTACTTTTCATGTGATTGATCATTAGATCTGGTTTTTGATTTGTGTTTCTATCTAGATTCTTCAGTTTTGTTCTTAATGAATGTTTGATTTTCATTCTTGTTAGTCTGATCACCTAGCTAGGGTTTTATCATTCCAGTTAATCAGTTAATAGAATCCGTAATTGTTCTAATTAATTGGTAATAAGTAACAAGTAATAAATCGGTTCCGTGTTTGGGATTTGACTTTATTATAAATTGTAAAAATCATACCTTTACGCTTCCGAGCTTGTGAGAAGTATTGGGTATTGCTGGGAATTTTACAAAGAACTTAATGCAACTTTTCTGATCTTAATTAAGAGCTTGTTTGATTAGACAGTAAAAAGTTAGGGTTAATTGAAGAGCTTGTTTTGGTTAACTAAATAAGGTAAAAGAGAAATTACTAGAGCTTGTTAGTTTTTCTCAGTACCAGCTTAGATAGAACGCATCTCAAAAAATCAGATCTGGATCGGTTGCATGATTAGGAAAGTCACAGTAGAGCTGAAACCATTTTTATTATTGATTTTCGTTTACTTTATTATCACTGCATTTCTAGTTATTAGTTTTAATCAAAAAACCCCTCTTTTATACTCTGTTTCTTGACTAGATGTGCCTGATGCAAAAAGGCATTGACTTTTAGGCTGTGTCCCTGAGGATTCGACCCTGCTTCCCTGTGCTATATTTTTAGTGCAACCAGCAGTGATAAATTTATTTGTTTAATAAGTGCGCGACAGCGTGTTAACAAATTGGCGCCGTTGCCGGGGACACGGTGCTTTCTAATAGTTTTATGCCAAGAATTTTTCGCTCAGGTACACCTTTAGTTTTTGATCCAGAAATCGAGTGAACTGCAAGGAGACTAAAAAAGAGGCAGCAAGAAAGAAACAATCAGTTGGTCTCTTTGGTTCATCATCTTCCATACCCCCAGAAACCTCTACACCACAAGGCACTCCCTTGTGGAACGAACCAGATCCGATTTTTCCGAAAGTACCCCCATCTTCTCCTCAAAACAGCCCTTATAAAACTTACTCCCCACCTTCCTCCGTAAAATCTGAAACCACCGACTCTTCAGAAACCGAATCTGGAGAATCAGACATGAGTGGAGACGAAGCAGAAAAGACCCTTAGAGAGTGGGCCACTCAAGAGGTCAACCAGCAGCCCCTTTGCATCACTTTTCCGGAAGCCCAGAACTTCGAACTTAAATCTGGGCTGATTCACCTTCTTCCTACTTTCAGAGGATTGGAAAAGGAAGACCCACATAAATTCCTCAAGGAATTTCATGTGGTTTGTTCTGGAATGAAGCCTCATGTAGTTACTGAAGACCAGATCAAACTAAGGGCATTCCCCTTTTCGCTTCAAGATTCTGCAAGAGAATGGTTGTATGAACTCTCATCTGGTTCCATCACCACTTGGACAGAGCTCGCGAAGCTGTTCTTAGAGAAATATTTTCCAGAAACGCGAGTCTCCAGTCTCAGAAGAGAAATCCTTGGTATCAAAACAATGAAAAAGAGAAGCTTTACATACCTACTGGGAGAGATTCAAGAAGTTGTTGGTCCGTTGCCCCCAACATGGAATTAGTGATTACCAGCTCTATAACTGTTTCTGTGAAGGTCTGACACCCATGGAAAGACGCCTTATAAATGCTTCCAGTGGTGGTTCTTTGGGTGATATGACACCAACTGAAATTAGAGAGTTGATCGAAAAACTGGCAATCGAGTCTAAACGCTCTGGAAATGAAGACGAGTGGTATCCAGATCAACCAAGGGGTGTCAAGGAAGTCAGCAATATTCATTTGGAAGCTCAGATATCTGAATTGACAAAAGATGTTCTGCTCTTGACTAAAGAAAAAGCAGCTGCAAAGAAACAATGTGGGATTTGCTTGAAGACTGATCACCCTACAGATATGTGCCCAATATTGCAAGAGGATACAGTTGCAGTCAAAGTTGTCGGGGGCTACCAACAGAATTTTCAGAATAATTATCAGCAGAAACAACAATTTCAGCCTCCACCCGGATTTCTGCAGCAGCGAAATTTTCAGCAGCCGGGTTTTCAGCAAAATTTCCAGAATCAGCAGAATTCTCATTTTCAGCCCAACTTCCAGAATTCGAATTACCAGAATCAGAACACACAACAGCAACCCAATAGTTCCAGCATGGCCTTAGAAGATATAGTGAAGAGTCTTGCCACGAGCACCCAAGCATTCCAGACAGAAACCAGAGCTAGTATCAAGAATCTGGAGCAGCAGGTGTCTCAACTTGCCACTTCTGTGGGTCGTCTGGAATCTCAAGGAAAGTTACCGGGCCACACCGAAAACAATCCGAAGCATAATGTTAGTGCTATTTCCTTGAGAAGTGGGAAAACATACAAATGCCTAAGTGCATCTGAACCAGAAAACGAATCTGAAGACGAATTTGAAGAAGTTCTGGTAGAAGAAGGAGATATCGAAGAAACAGAAAAAGGAGCTGAAACAGAAGAGTATGAAGAAGTGTTAGTTGAAGAATTCGCTGAAAAAGATAAAGAAAAAGAAACTCCAGCACTACCCAAGCCAATTCTGAAGGAGTACAAGTCATTACCTCCCTTCCCATCGCGACTGAGGAGCACGAAGCGCGAAAGAGATGATGAGGACATTATGGAAATTCTTCGCAAGGTTGAGGTAAATATCTCACTTTTAGATATTATCCAACATATCCCTCGGTATGCTAAATTTCTGAAAAATTTATGTATTTCAAAGAAAAAAATGAAATTTAATGAGATTGTAAAAGCTGGTGAAAATATTTCTTTAATTTTGCAAAAAGGTTTGCCTCCAAAGTGCAAGGATCCGGGGATTTTCTCAGTTCCTTGTAAATTGGGGAACCTTGATTTTCCAAAAGCCATGCTTGATTTAGGAGCTTCAGTTAATGTCCTTCCCTATTCTATTTTTGAGAA